GAGGGGGAAACAGGCTCCCCACTGAGCAGAGAGCCCAATGCGGGGCTCAATCCCAGGACCCTGAGATCATGACCTGAGCCGAAGGCAGAGGCTTTAACCCACTGAGCCACCCAGGCGCCCCGGGAAATTTTAATATAGGCTGAGCTTTAGATTGAGGAATTATTGTGTGCCATTGTTAGAGATAATAAAGGCACTGTGATTATATATATATATACACACACACATATATAATCACAATGCCTTTATTACATATATATGTTATATATATATATATATATTTTTTTTTTTCATTCATTCCCACCTGTTAAAGATGCTTGATAATTTGTGTACAAGTAGAATGATATGAAGTCTCAGACTTGCATTAAAGTACCCTAGGGGAGAGAAAAATCTTTGGAGTGATAAGTAAAACAAGATTGGCAAAAATGTTGCTAATTGTTGAAGCTAGATGATGGGTATGTGGGGATCTGTTTTAGTGTTCTTTATATTTTTGCACCTGTAAGATTTTTCATAGTAAAAAAAAAAAATGTTTTATTGAGCTATAATGAACATACAGTGTTCTTTCAGCTTCAAGTAGACAACATGATGATTCAACAATTCTGTATGTTACTCGGGATAAATGTAGTCCTTATCTGGCCCCAAATAATACACATTGAAATCTTTTTAAAAGAAAAAAATCAGGTTGTAAAAGGCCTATAAATAGGATTTTTTTTCTTTTTACAAAGGAATTAAAAAATACTCAGAGAAACAATGATAAATAAGTACCTGCTAGTGATCTTCTTCAGAGAGGCCAAAGGATGCCAGGCTCAAGAAAGATTAAAAATGAAGGTAATAATGTAGCAGCTCTGAGTCTCATTTCAACAGGCAAGGGAGGACTACTTGGGCTGACAGGAAGTTCCATTTTATTTTGTCTTTCTTGCCACTTCTATTACCTCTTCCCCACACATACCCAAAAGCTATGCACAGATTTGGTGTCTTACATAATCTCTAAACTGTGGGGAGGCCCTCCTGGTTATTGGTCTCATGTCAAGGTGACCTTTGTCCTGTGTTCCTGGTGCCTTCAGTGCGTGGCTTTGCAGAGGGTACAGCGTCTGTGGTAGACTCAGCCACAGAGACCTGTAGCCATCCCCTAGGGGCAGGCTCACAGACCGGGTATAAGGCTTGCTCATCTCAGGCTGGGCCAGAAGTCTCCTTCCCCCATTTCTCTCTTCCTCTTTCTTGTCAGGATCTCTTGAATAAGCATTGAGTGGGTTAGGGTTTTACAAATGACAGGAAGAGTGATTGAGTTCAAGTTGCTTCTGTTTTCTGCCCTGACAAAAATAACCATGGAAAGCAATCGCAAAAGCTGGTTGCTAGCTCCCTGCTTGAAATGTGTGTGTCGGGAGGATGGGGGAGATACAGGGAGAAGAACTGTGGATTGATGTTTCTCTATATTCTGCCACAGTGGGTTTGTCCATCCTGAAAGGATTCATTCTTTCAGAGGAAAGTACATAAGGTTATATTAATAAGGAAGTTTCTTCTGATGAATAAGAAGGAGGTGTGCTTGCTCAGATGAGGAGAACTCAGGAGTCCCTTGGGAGAGATAAAATTGTACCTGGGCCACAGAGGAAGGTAGGAAAGCAAAAGGAATTCTAAGCCAAGTTTATTCCTCACACATAATGGGTATGGATAAGTGATTAAGAGATGGTGAGAAACAGGTTACTTTTAATGAAACCTCAGAGAGAAAGGAAAAGACAGTGTGGCCTCAGAGTTCGGAAAGAAAGAGACTTTCAGATAAGCCGGGGCCTGTGACTTGTGTCCTGCTTATGTCCCACAGCACTGAGGAAAAGGAATGGGAGGCCACATCCTAGAGATGGCTGAACGGTCTCTAGGTACTTTCAGTCACAAAACAATGACTTCACAAACACCCTCTCTCTAATCTCATCCATCATTTTTTTCAGTTTCCAAATTTTTCCTTTCCTATTCTTTCTTTTAAAAGCCCCTCTAGGGGTGCCTAGGTGGCTCAGTCACTTAAGCATCTGACTCTTGATTTCGACTCAGGTCACAACCTCAGGGTCATGAGATCAAGTCCTGTGTCCAGATGCTCAGCACAGAGTCTGCTTACGATGCTGTCCCTCTCCCTCTGCCCCTCTGCCCCCCACCATTCACTTTCTCAAAAAATAAAAAAATAGGGGCGCCTGGGTGGCTCAGTCAGTTAAGTGTCTGCCTTTGGCTCAAGTCATGATCTCAGGGTCTTGAGCTCTCGGCTCAGCAGGGAGTCTGCTTTCCCCTCTGCCCCTCCTTGTGCTCTCTCTGTCTCTCTTTCTCTGTGTCTCAAATAAGTAAATAAAATCTTTTTAAAAAATTAGAAATAAAGTAAGTTAAAAAATAAAAGCCCCTCTAAAGTCAATATAAATGTAAAGTGTATATTTGCACCCTGGAGTTGTGTGTGTCTGAGCACCCTAATGCCTTCTAGTACAGAAAACAAAAGAGAGAAATTGATGATTAATGTGAAGGTATGTAACTCCAAAATGTGCCAGTAACTCTGAATGACATGATTTTCTGGGTATTTGACCCTTACTGCAAAAGAGGAGAGGTAGAAAAGAATAATAAGGGGGAAACTATCTTTTTTCATGAACCCAGGGCTCTTGTGCCCAGCTTTCCGACCTGTTCTGTGGATTTTAAATGAATGCTTTAAGTGTCATATGCTTTCAGCCACAATGCTCAAGGTTAGCACTTGAGAAATAATGTGTTTTCCATTGTATGCGGTGTTCTTATTATCAAAGTAAGACTCTGAGATTTAACATAGACCATTAGTGTAATGGACTGAACTCAATGCTCATCGGCTAGATGAGATCACTGGTGTCCCTCCCGCCCTCTACCTTCCTTTTCAATGAAGTATCGGTATCATGCTTTGTGTACTTTGGTAATACACCATTTTGAGTTCACTGTTGTTATAGTGCAATCTTTTTAGAAAATTGTTACATACTTTTTTTTTTTTTTTTTGGTTGACCATTTAGTTTTTTATTTAGGCTGTGTGTTATGTTTCAAAACATAAGAAAATTTATATGGAGGGGTGTCGGGAGAGGGTGGTGGGGTTATGGACGTTGGGGAGGGTATGTGCTATGGTGAGTGCTGTGAAGTGTGTAAACCTGCGATTCACAGACCTGTACCCCTGGGGCTAATAATACCTTATATGTTTATTAAAAAATTTAAAAATTAAAAAAAATTTATATGATGCAGGGACCACTTTTTTTCGTATATAAAAATCTACTCTACTCTTGCCACCCAGAGATAACCTTCGTGGTTAACATTAGGGGATATAATCTTCTTGACTATTATATGTATTTTTTTTTTTAAATGAGAGAGGTACCTGTCCATACTGTATTGCACCTTAGCTTTTTCAATTAATTCTCTTGAAAAGATTTGCCTTTTATCCTTCCTTAACCTCAGCTTTAGTGACTGCATACAAATTTTAATGTGTGACTGTATTGTAGTGTATATAACCAATTCCTGATGATTTAACTTCTAGTGTAATTTTAATTTGTCATTTTTAATTTGCAATATAATTTTTTATGGTATCTTAGAGCTTTTTCTTAAACTGTGAAAAAGTAAATCCTTAATTTTTTTAATAAAAAATGGAGAAATATTAATCAACATATGAAAACCTAGTGTTTGTATATCTGCTTAGAGAAATACTTTCTTGCCTGGAGAGATAGCTATAATTGAATATACTTGTGGCAATCATTTAAAATAAATTCAATAATACTAATTTTCTGAACTCCTACTAAGATTAAATATACTAAAACTCGAATGTGTTATTCAATTTAGGAGAGCACAAGCTTCATTTTATTCCTGCCTTGATTGGCCCTTTCCTAGAAGTGACCTTGATACCCCAGGCAGATCTCCGGAATGTCATGATTCCTATTTTTCACGATATGATGGACTGGGAGCAGAGGCGGAGCGGCAACTTTAAACAGGTAGGCAGATGAGCTTTTCAGAGCGGTTGGGGAGAATTTCAGTTCTTCTCGAGCATCTCTGAGCTGCCAGATTCAACTCCAAGTTGGGAAGTGAGCACTGAGCGCTCAAGGGACTTCAATTCCAGCCTGGTCTGCCTTCTCCCCTTCGTGTGACCTTGGTCACTTCTCCAGTCCTGTGTTCCCCCTGAGCCTCCAGGGAAGCTCTCACATCCTCTTCTGCTTAAAAATTCTGTGATTTCCAGGGTTTCTGTTGAAGAGCTGGCAGAGACTTGATCTGTTCCCAGTTGGACATGACACAGAGGAATCAGAAGACTAACCATTCTTAAAATCATGGACCTGTCTGTGGTCTGCACATTGCATTTGGTGAATGGCTAGGTTTTGAGCATTTGATGCATAGTATGTTCTATCGCTTTTTGCTTGAAGTGCTGATAGTTAATTTAAACAGGAAAGCAGTAGAAATTCTTGCATCTAGATTTCTGGATGAGCCTATTAGTTTCATTGACATAGGTTCTGAGAGCTCTGCTCCAGTTTTGGAAAGAATAGAAGTTTTTATTAGAAAACTACATTACATAAGAAATCAGCTGCTTTTTGTTGCGCCGGGTCACTCAAGTTGGAGATAGTGGCCTTCTTTCTGTTCAGGTAGTCAACTCACTGAGCTGTACACAGTCATTTGTGTGAAGGATCTGCTCCCTGCCCCTACCCCCCCCCAACCATGCTTCTCCAAATGAAGCCTTTCTCAAATTTTAGGAATAATTATCAACTCTGCGAGTGAGTGAAGGCCACCACAGACCCCTCCCTGCCCCATGCTTCTCCAAATGAAGCCTTTCTCAAAGATGACCACAGACCCCTCCTCCTGCCGGAAGCATGCCATATCACCTGTATCAATATCTCATTTCAAGAAAGCGAATAACTGAATGGAAGGCTATTTTAAAATTGTCCCTGCCTGGGGGAGATCCACTTTCCTTCCTTTGGTCTTCATAGCCTTATTAGAATTTGATTCCAAGGAATAACTGAGCTTAGTCCTTTGACAAAGTCAAGTATCTCTCCCAGTCTGTAGTTGCTTACCTCTCTCTGGCCATGCAGGGCTGTTTCACTTTCTGTCTCAGACAGATGAAGGGCTATTTCTGCTTTCCTGATATTCAAGGCCCAAGGGATTTACATTCTTGAAGATATAAATATTTTGACTGCAGGTTTTCAGGAAATATGTCCTTTCTCTCTCATGTAGTTTATTGCTGACTTAGAATATTTCCATGGATCTACCATCTGGACATGGATAAGGCAAGTTCTCAACTGGAGCAAGGATTTAGTGCAACCTCAGACTGTTTTGAGAAAGAAAATAGATAGAAAACACATCAAAGATTTAAATTAATGTCTGTGGGTATGTTACTTTGCTAATGTTCTTACACATCGAGTGATTTTTTTTTTTTTTAAATAAGTAAGTAGGACTTGCCAGTTTTTATAGCTCTTAAAAAAATTCAAGTGTTTAAGCTGGGCTGTAAACATTTGTGTTTGAGTCAACAAATAGAAGTCTTTGGTGGCAGCAGATGACACCCCTCTGGGAGTTCGAAGTCACATTTCTCCATCTAAATTAGCCGCCTAGAATTCCAGGGGGGTGTCTGCTATTAACCACAGCTTATGATAATGTTGCTTTCACAAAATTTACTGTGATTTTTTTTTTTTGCTTGCAGATAGAAATACGTTTCGGTTTGCCTAGGGAACCCACTTGTGAAGGAGAGGAAAGGGAGTAATATTTGGGTATGTTTCAGGTGGAAGCCAAGCTCATTGACAAACTGGACAGCCTGATGTCTGAAGGCAAAGGTGATGAAACGTACCGCGAACTCTTCAACAGTATGTGAGTAATGCGTGTCTCTCCAGTCGGTTCCCTTCAGAGGATTTGGTGTCAGTGCTGAGCGCCAGAGAGCTACAAAGACAGCTTGGGTCTCGAAGGAGTGCTTTGTCTTTTGTGGAATGTGAGATAAAGGATAATTGCTTAACTCTGGTGAAGGATCTTAGTATGCTGATGGTTAGACCCCTTTCCTCATTTTAATCTCTGATTAGGTCAGATCACTTGTGTTACGTAACAAATCTCAATCTTTTCAATCCTAAGAATTAAAGCCAGGGCTGCAAAATAATGATTTTAAGTAGGGTTAAGAGTGGGAAGACGGCAGGGCGGGGGGTGGGGGGTGGGGAGAAAATGACATAATTATCGGGTTCTTGTACATTGCTCTCCAAAGCAAGATATCCTTGGCTGATTTCTTGACGGGTTGACTAAGCTAAGAGCTGGCCTCTGTTGTTCGGTACTTGATTTGATTCATTGATACTGATTGGTCACTCAGCATTATTAATCGCTTTCTAAATGTTCCTTGCCAGAGTATCACAGAACCAAGTAATTTTTAGTGAATTCTGTGATTTGGATTTGGATGGAGGCTAGAACGACTGCAGAGTGCTGTAGGGGACTTTGAGGCAGTCCTTTCCAATAGAATATGATCGCAGTCCGGGGTGAATTGCTAGACCCAGTTCTCATCACTGTGTGAGATGGCCAGAGAGGACATGTAAGAGTGTTTTAGTACTTTAGCGTTTTCATTCTAACACTCATTTTCTCCACCGTTTTCTATGGATCTTAGCCATTTTCCGTCCGAGTATGTTGATAAAGTATTTCTTTTTGAAGGCAGGACTAGCTCCTTATGCCTGGAAAATGTTAACAGTTCTTTCAGAAGTACAAAAATCATTCAGCGATACGTCTTTCTGTTACAGAATATGCTCTGCCTTGTATGTGTGCCCAAGCATCACGTCCAGCCATTCATGCTTCAGAATCGATAGCCAAATGCCAAGTTGTATACTTTGTTTTATGATCGTTACTTTAAAAAAGTAGATGTATTATTAGTATCCAGATTTAGAAAGCATTATTAGTGACTGATAGGTTTCAACTTGCCGGATTCAGAATCATCCCTGAACCTTTTAAGAAAATTACATTCAAAGGAAGAGCCAAGGAGGGTACCCAGATTTCTTGGGATGGTGGTGGGTGATGATAACATAGATTCTTTGTACTGATTCCTGAACAAAATCATTTTCTTCTGGTACCGCAGTTAAACTGGAACTTTTAGTAATTATTCACCAAGCCCTCGTTCATTCTAGTGTACAAAGCGCCTGTGTTTCATGACAGCTGGAGTTTAGCAAGAACTCTGATTAAAGCCTCATCCAGGGTAATAAATTGCCTTTGAAAACTGCTCTCATTTCAGTTACCAGTCCTTGGTTGGAACAAAGAAGTAAAATGAGAAAGCACTCAGTGAAATGAATCTCAGGAGATTTGTGATTAATTATTTATAATAAATTAACAAGATTAATAAATACATCATTTTATAGTGTCTCTTCTCTACTTTAATAAAGGCCTAGAGCTTGCAATTTGGATCGCTTGTGTCTAAATGAGGCTTTGAAATAGAAGATGTACCTTGACGTTAGCATGAAACCAGTAATTAATATATTAAGCCTCTGTAGTTAAGACTGTTTTAAGGTGCCTGATTCATTCAATGGAGATTATTTTTCTTTTGTGATTTTTAACGTATTATTAGAAATGTTACTATAAATATTTTTCTTTCATGCTTTTCCTACCAGCATATTGGGTTTAAATAAAACCTAAAGTGATAATTAAATATCATTACTACCTGGGTTCAGGAGAGAAAGTGAAAAGCCAGCCATGTTTCAGGAAACAATGAAGTGCTGCTTTGGCAATAGAAGTCACCATGAATTGGTAGAAGCACAATGAGTCACTGCACACATTATGAATTGGGAACACATGCCGTTATGGTACAGATTCTCATTTGTTCTCTGTAGTTCATATCTAAAACTTCTTCAGTTTTGTTCAGAAGCTGAAAGTAGCTTCCTTCTTCCTGCAAATGTAGGAGTTGCCCAAAGAGCCTCCTTAGAAGGAGACTTGAAATCTGTGCAGTGGTTTCCTTCCTAAGAGCTAGCTCACCTTTCCCCACCCCATCCCCCAACGTTGTCTTCATGGACCCATACTCCATCTTTTTGAGTAAGTAGGAGTCAGGATTTGTTATTTTTGATAATGCTGGAAGTGTAGATCATTGAGACCAGTGTGCTCTCTCCAGCATAGAGTGTCAGAACTAAATTCGGCTTCCCCTGGCTCTGCTTGGTTTGGTTTTATTTACCAAGTACCTCCCTGGGGCAGGTGCTTTCCTAGGGCTGAAGACACCGCAGGGAATGTGCTGTGGGAGCACACAGTAGGGTGCTTTCCGGACGAGCCACTGTCCCTCTCCCTCCTTTCTCATATGTTGCTCGAAATAATTAAGTAAGACTCCAGGTCATTCCAGAGGTCTTTATTTGGCAGTCACACATTAAATTCTCGTTTGGAGGCCGAGCAGTGGATACACCACATGTATCTCAGGAGTCTGGTTCTTCTCTTTGGATTAAGAAGAACATGGACACAAAGACACAGGTGTTTCCTGTAGGAGGGATGGCCTCACCACCACTATGTGGTGATGTAGAGAGAAGCAAATTTAGGGTCAGATCCTACCTCCCCCTGTTGATGTTCTTTCCCAGGGTAAGAGCTTTCTGAGCATTATGTCATCCTCTAGGACTCTGGTTTACCCCTCTCTCCACTGGTAGGGAGGCCCACTGCCTATCAGCTAGCAGTGAGAAATCACCCTTCACTGTTCTCGGGTGAGTTCCCCATGTACTCAGCATGGGCACACAGGCCAAATAAAAACACAGTCTCCCTGAAGTTGGCTAGACTCTTCTCTTCTGGCCGCGAGGCTCCCCTTCTCAGTTTGTATCAGATAAACTGGGAGAACCAGCTTCCCGATAGAAAGAACAAGCCTGGCTGCGAGAGCAGGTGGATCAGGTTCTAGACTTGGTCCTGCCATTTGGGTCTGGGATTCCTGAAGGTTAAGCGGGCGCTGCGGAGCTATGCCTCTTCTTACAAGAGGGTTTGTGGAGCTCTGATTTCTGACTGTATCAGGAGGCTGTGCAAATTAATGAAATTCATGCCTGCAAAAGAAGTCTCCCTATATTTTTAGAATTATTACTTAACTTGAGTTCTTTGTTTTTCAGCCTATAAAGTATATGAGGTGTGGGCTGTCACTTGGGGAAATTTCTACATCACCCGGCACTGCTTTGGCAGGCAGATTTGCACTTGAGGACTTGGTTTGAGACCAGTTTGGCATTTAAGCTTGAATCAGGTGCTGTTCAGAGGGTTTTTAAAAGAAAACTCACTTAAAACAAAGGAGGGGACCGTCCCTGGCAGATTAGTCAGGGCAAGCGCCATCCCATGGTACAGGACTTCTCTCCCTCCCTCCCTCCCCCCACTTAATCCAGGAAGCAGTTCAGAATAACCCAGGAAACGAATGCTCAGGGATACATAGGCAACAGATGAGGAGACAAGGCAGAAGGCTGGGCTCTGGAGAGGCAACAGCAAGAGGAAGTAGGGAGAGAAGTTGGGAAAGAACATAGCACCAGGAAGGAAGGAAGGGAGGGAGGGAGGGAGGGAGGAGGGAAGCAAGCTAGTTTTGGCAGAATAGCTTTTTTTCTTTAGTGTTTATTTCTCCTTTAAGCACAATATGTGATTGGCTTAGGTTGTGCTTGTGAGAAATGTTTTCTTTCTCTGGTAATCCCAAAACCAAGATGAAAAGGAAACGATTTTAGACAGAAAGGATCTTTAAATGCAGAGGGGTAGGGAAGGATGCTCCCATTGCCGTGCCTCTGTTCTTACTTTTATCTTTTGGGGAAAGTTCAGTCATAAAGGCTTTGCCAAGTGTATGCTTAATTTGCCAAGAGGCAGGAGTGAAAGTCAAACAGATCCTAATTATTCTGGTTGTTGTGATTCTGTGTTTACATAGTGCCTCTGCTCCAAGGTGCTTAAGATTAGGGAAAATGTAGGAGGAGAGTTGTGGTTCAGTACTTGTCACCAACCTGCTCTAACAGCCTCATAGACAATCCCCTGTGATTAATGACAAAATGAATGAAACTGTTGAGTGAGTGCACAGATAGTACAATATGTATTGAGTGGGCAAATGTGAAGGGAAAGGAAAAAACGCAAAACGTCATACCGTCTGTACAAGGATTTTCCTCTAGCAGTTGCACTGCAGTAAAATTGCCTGGATGAAGATGCATTCCACCGAGAGGTAGGAAAACATTTTTATGTGAATAACAGCAAGATCTTATTTCAAAGTAAACTTAGAGGTACTCCTGTTTTCCCTCTTCGCGGTGTTATTTGCTGTGGTAAGGCTCATGCCTCTGCTAGTGTAGGAGAGAAGCTAGGCGAGAATGTCTTGGAGCTTTGGGGTGCTTGTATAGTTTGAAAATATGATCATATGCATGTGTTCGTATTTTATGACTTGGTTAATCTGAAAATCAATTTGCTTTGTCAATGCTTCCTGGATTAGAATTCCGCTATTTGGTCCCTATCCTAGGTAAGACATTGTTTGCAAATCGTGCTACTTGTGCGATATTGGAGTGGTTGCTAAGGCATTTAAGGTACTGATGAAAGTAAGATGGTTGTCATGGTGACTGATAAAAATAAGTGTTGAAAATGCCCTGCATTCTTTCTTTTCCAGTCTATTAAAGAAAATTGAGCGGGAAACATGGAGGGAAAGTGGCGTTTCATTAATTGCCACTGTAACTCGTCTGATGGAGAGGTTGTTAGATTACAGGTAAGCTGAGTCCCCTGCTTCTCGGGTGTGCTGTGCTCCAGCTGGGAAATCAGAGTCAGGATCCAGTCAACTTTCCGCTGGAGTTAATCATCAGCCCACAGTACCTTGTTGGACTTACCTAGCTGGTTCAGAGTTTTTAGTTCATTTTTTCCCCCTTTTTCTCTCTTTTGTTTGATGGACCGTTCTTTCAAAGTCTTAGTGAATTGAGAAGGTTCTCAGAGTCCCATGAGTAAAGGGATCTTTTTTGGTGTTTAGACTCAGCCATTGACACCAGCAGATCTTTCGGTTTTAGGGTGAAGACAGTGTAAATGAGAATTGTATGGTCAGGCTGCTTTCTTATAAAAGAGGGTTTAAAAAAAAAATGAAAGGGGTGGTGGCATGCGAAGTTCACACTGTTACCTTTCATAGATGCAATTTTTTTTATTTTTAAATTATCTCAACTGTTAAAGCAGTTCATCCCCTTAAATGCGCGGTGCTTTCCTTTTAAGAATGAAACCCTCGTTCTTGTTGTTGATGGCCAGGCTTCTAGTCACTTCCCACCCCTCTGGAAGAAGGTGTATAAGAACACATCTTCACTCCTCCTTCTGGGGGATGGGGGGGAGCCTGTCTATTGAGAGGGAGCAACAGAAATGGTGCTCAGGAGTGTCTCACCTGAGACCCTGCAGCCTGGGGCAATTCCCCTAGTCCCCAGAGCCCCCTTCTCAAGGTCAACTTGCAAATTGCCTTGGGTCTCTGACAATACTTGCACCTACCCTCCCCCAGTCCCACCCCCATGGAAGAAACTGTGTTAGTCCCTAGGAAGGAAGTTCTAAGTTCTGACTCTTGCTTTTTGTTTTTAGGGACTGCATGAAAATGGGAGAGGTAGATGGCAAAAAGATTGGCTGCACCGTTAGCCTTCTGGTTAGTAAACGATTCCTCTCTTCCTCCTTGTATCCTAACGTTTGATTCACAGAATCGTTCTGTTTGTTCACAGAAATACTGTTTCGATTGTTTTTAGTTTACAATGTGTTTTTATCTGGATGCTTCTTAGAAGAGCTTGGAAGTGTTTTCAAAAGAAGCACAGCGAGCTTCAGGTTGAATTAAATCCCCAAAAATGCTCAACCAGTACGTCGCAGAAGGTCCCCAGCGCGTCGCCTGCCTGTGGCTCTGTGAGATCAGAGAGCGATGCCCCCTCCCATCCTGTGGCGCTTTACCCTCCGGGCGTCTTTTGTGGCTCTTCCTAGAAAAAGGCACAACGTCCCTGACTAGAGCTCTTTCTACTTCTGTGTAGACAGTTTCTGTGCTTGTTTTTATATTCATTCTACATTTTAATGAATATTAGTCATCTCTTCTTTGGTGAACAAATGACAGTTTCTGTTTAACACACTAATTTTCACTCTCTAGCTTGTTTGCAAATTAAGTGTCTAATACCATTCTCGTGAAGTTTTGCATCATAACTAAGATAAGCATATTAATTGATCACCCAAAGAGGACATTTTTTAGGAGTAAAATTAAATATTATGTAAGGAAAACAGGCTACACCATGATTGTCCTGGAACACTCAATTGTATTAAAATGTCTCATCCCTGAGTGTTAAATAGGATGTATTCTCACCGCAGAGCTGAAAAATTGACCATACATAGAGACATTCATTTTTTTTTTTTTTACATTTTAATATCAGATATATTGATGCTCTTGGTAGTTTCCCTTAGTCAGATATGAAATACAGAAATATGTGACTGCTTTCAGGTCTAAATGTGTGAGAGCCAAGGTTTCTTTTTCGTATGTTGCAGAATAGCTGAGACCTCACAGCTGTTCTGAGTCCTTGTACAGACGCTCTTCTCCTGACTCTGATGGTCGGAATCCCTCACATGCCCTGCGGGGCTCTGCCGGCACCTCGGAAGTGTCTTTTGCCCCCACTCTCATCTGTCTTGTCCTCGCTCACCAGCTTCAGTCTTTCCAGTCTGCTCTGTTTATTCCCTTCACAGCCCCTCGTCGAAGCACAGGACTTCTGCTCCTTTGTTACCAGTTTCCCTAGTCTGTGTCCCTCACTGCACTCAGGCTCCCCTCCAAGTAGATGCCTCTGTCCTTCTTTACCACACCCGCGGCTTGTTCCTCATTGTGAACGCATGTCCCACATCTCCACCTCCGAAATCAGTCACTAGAAATAGTGAGACCTGAGAGTCTTCTATCCGGCCCCATCTTGTGGTACACTTTCTGACATTATTTTTGTCATCAGACCCAACAGTGACCTCAGGCCACCGGACCAGACCCCTGAGGTCAGCCCACTCACCTCCGATCTGAGTTCTCATGTCTAACCTTTGAGCATCGTCATTACCACTTTTAAGTCTCCTGCATGTGTTTCCCCAGTGTCTTGCCTGCTGCTGCCAGCCTTTTACCACATTCAAGAGCCTCGGCCCAAGCTGCTTCTGTATCCCTACCTGGGCATCAGTGTTTGGGCAGAAGACCCAGTGCTCTGTCACTCTTAGTCTTCTTAGTCCATCAGCTTAACCCTGGCTTTTCCCCAATGCTGACCACAAAGTTTCATAAATAACCTCAAAGGACAACCTATACTTTTTTCCAGAGGAATCTCCTTCCCTTGTCTCCATCTTCTTCCACATTGCCCTCCGTGTGGAGGTAAGCAGGTACATGCAGACTCCAGGTTCATTTCCTCAGTTGGTGTAGCAGGAGAGATCATTTCTCTGGATGATGGAATAAATACTCTGCCTAAAATATGTGTAGTCCCCCAGTAGGAATAAGCCAGAGACCTAATAAAATCAGTGGCCCCAGTAGGATTCACTTGACACAAAGAATTTATCCTTTTGGCTTTGCATTGACCAAGAACAGTCTTTATAGAAAATGTTAGCATTTTTTAAAAAAAAGGATTTTGTTTATTTATTTGAGAGAGAGTGAGACAGAGCATACACTGGGGGAGAGGGAGAAGCAGACTCCACACTGAGCAGAGAGCCCAACATGGGGCTTGATCCCAGGACCCTGGGATCATGACCTGAGCCAAAGGCTGATGCTTAACCGACTGAGCCCCCAAAATGTTAACATCTTGAAAGCTGTTCTAATTTCAGACTAGCACGAGAACGCTTATTATCAAAGTGCCAAATACATAACTTTGAAGCTAATCTTTTTAGCTTCTAGTCCATATGGAAAGTTCTTGATGTTTTCTAGTAGTAATATGGTTCTCTTCAGGTACTCACTTCCTCTTAGAGATTTTCCTTAACTCTTTGGAAGGGTTAATTCCAGATTGTCTTCAGGAGAGCTCTGGCTTCCTTCACAAGATTGAAGTTAAACTGTAGTGTTAAATTGGTAAAAATGCATAATGTTTGACATGACTCATACTAGGAAATGTAATTATTGTTTTGTTCTATGTGTCACAAGTTTTGCCAGACATATGTGAAAAATTCTCATCTGTTGACTGGAGAGATTTTTCTTCTTCTTCTTCTTCTTCTTCTTCTTTCTTTTTTTTTTTTTTTTTTTTTTTAAGGAGAATTATTCATTTACAGAGTGATCACTTATTTTGTTCTCAGAAAAATGCTGCTTCTTACCAAAAAGCTATTAGAGCAAATCATCCCTTAATAATGTAAAAAGCCTGCTGTGGGGTTGTTAGACTTGTGTTTATGGTACAACAGTTCTTGCTAATTAAAATGATTTTGGCCATAATAAGAGAGATGCGAATAGCATTATTTACTTAGATTTTTAAGGAATGCCAAGATCTATAGGAGACAAGAGGAAAGGGGAGGATAATGGTATAAATTGGAAGAAAAAAAATTTTATGATGCATTCAACTAAATGTCAGTGCCTCAAGGTAGGAAGAGTTCTCATATTGAAGAATAGACAATATTAGGTGGTGGACAGAAGGTACATTTGACAGAAGGTCCTCGGGCTTGAAGCCAAGTGCACTTTAAGCAGCCACATTGGCTATTTGGTTCATCACCAGAACCCTGTCTAGCTAGTCAGTTTCAAAGATTTTTAGGATTCCTGATCTTTCCCCCTTAAAGAAAACCTGTCACTCCTTCAGGCCAACAGAATTATCCCCATATCGCCTCTCATTTTCCCTTCTTCCCCATACCAGCCAGGATCAGTGAACAATAGTGATGGTAGTTCAGAGGGCTTGTGCAGTGATTTCATAATGCACAAATGATCCGCCAACAAAAAGTGCCCCATTTAGAAGCTCACAGCATCCTGCTTTTGCTGGAACCTCATGTCATGTACATTTTTGTTCCTGTTTACTAAGTTCAGTGAGGGCTAAGGTATTTTGTACAATGTGGTAGAGGAGTACATGTGGGTGTTTATAGCTTACACCCTTAAAAACCCAACATAATGGGTCCAGGTAAGTCAGAGTTGAATTTTTCATAAGTAATGTTAAAACATTTCAGGGAAGATTGGTAAGCTCCAGATAACTTTTTTAAAAAATAAACAAAATGTTTTCAATAATCATGCCCCTCTAATAATAGTTTGAAATCTCTTGTTAATAATCCCTTTACTGGAAGTATTGAGACCCCAGCACAAGTAAGAAACTCTGAATAGTACCTTACCAAAAAAGAGCATTTTCATTCATCCTCTTTTACATGATTTTTCAGGGGAAGAAAAAAAATGCTTTTACATTATTTTTACTCATCCTTACTTATATAAATCTTAGAAACTTTTTTTTCTTCAGAGCAAAATATGTTTGAAATTTGAAATTAAGCTATGCGTTGAATATCAGTGCTCGGGTTTAACAAGTGGATTAATCTACTGTTATTTTTAATATATTTTTTAGTTGACTAGGCCGTAAAACTAACAAAAAAATAATAGAGTACAAAATAAATGTGAGTTGCTGGCAATAACGTTCCCCAAGCGTTACCAACTTATCCAATAAATTGCTAGGTAATGTTTAACATAGAGTTGCATTAAGAGTATATCACTGGGCCTCCTTCCTTAATTTTTAAGAAGACATTTGTATGGAAAAATGTGTCCATTCTTGTAGTTCCAAACACGGAACTTCACAGAGTAAAAAGCAGCTGTTTGCAAACCTGACTGTTGAGGAACGATCCATACTTGTATTCTTTTTTACAGAACTTCTATAAGACTGAACTAAACAAGGAAGAGATGTATATACGCTACATCCACAAACTCTATGATCTGCATCTCAAAGCGCAAAACTTCACAGGTAATTCTGTCTTTTGGCTCAGGGTGGGGAGAGTGGGCTGGACACTGGTGTATCATACACGGTCAGTCCTTTGCTTTGTATAATTAGAGCTGGGAACTCAAGCATTTGTCCTTTATAATGGAAATTTTTCATTGGATCTATTTTTCTAGGTACTCCATTTTAATTTATTGGCTTTTTTACTCTATCTCTTGGCATAGTTTTTTAGAGGTTGCTTTTGGGAGTACAAAATACGTATCTCACTTTTGGAGCCTACTTACAGTTGGTATTTTACCACTTCAAGTTAAATAATGTTATGTTGTAGTTCCCCTACATATTGTGTATGCATACATTGGAAACCCCACCAGATAATGCCATAATTTTTACGTTAACAGTCATACCTATTTTATTTTATTTTTTAAAGATTTTATTTATTTATTTGACAGACAGAGATCACAAGTAGGCAGAGAGGCAGGCAGAGAGAGAGGAGGAAGCAGGCTCCCTGCTGAGCAGAGAGCCTGATGCGGGGCTCGATCCTAGGACTCTGAGATCATGACTCGAGCTGAAGGCAGAGGCTTTAACCCACTGAGTCACCCAGGCGCCCCCACAGTCATACCTATTTTAAAGAATTTAGAGGATTAAATGGTCTGTCTTTGTTGCTCATATATTTACTGTTTGTGTTGCTCTTTCTTCCTTCATGAAGTTCTCAGTTCCTCTTTGTTATCATTTTTATTCAACCTAAAGAATATTTCTTTTAAAGTAGATCCGGTGGTGAAGGGCGCCTTGGTGGCTCAGTCAGTTGGGCGGCTGACTCTTGGTTTCTGCTCAGGTCACACTCTCACAGTTGTGGGATCAAGTCCCGAGTAGGGCTCTGCGGTCGTGGTCAGTGCAGAGTCTGCTTCAGATTCTCTCTCCCTCTCCTTGTCTCTCTTTCTCTTTCTCAAATAAATAAATAAAATCCTCAAAAACAGAACAACAACAAAAAAGTAGACTTAGCAATGAAGAATTCTCGTTGTGTTCCTTCGTCAGAGAAGTCTTCATTTTGCCTTTACCCCTGAATCTGCTGGTTATCAAATTCTAGGTGGATAGTTCCCTTGTTTCAGTACTTGGAAAACTGCCCTGCTGTCTTCTGGCCTCCATGGTTTCTGATGCAAGATCAGCAGTCACCTAAATTGTGTCCCTGTATATAATGTATAAGTTTCTCTGGTTGCTTTCAAGACTGTATCTTCGGTTTCTAGCAGTTCAATTATGATGTATATGGTCATGGCTTTCTTTATGATTATCCTGTCTGGATCCACAGTGTTTCGTGAATTTATAGACTTATTTCCTTCACCAGATTTGGGAGGTTTTCTGGCATTATTTCCTCAAATGTATTTTCTGCACTGGTCCTCTTTTGGAACTACAAGTGACATGAATGTTAGGCCTTTTGGTATTCTGTAAATTCTTGGGTCTCTGTTCATTTTTTTTTTTCCCAGTTTTTCTTCTTTCTTGTTCAAATTAGATCATTTCTGTTGATTTGTATACAAGTCAATTGGCTCTTCTGTGCCATTTCCATTCAGCTACTGAGCCCTTCCAGTGAAATCTTTTGTTACTGTATTACCCATTTCTAAAATTTCCTTTGCTTTTTTTCTTTTCTTTTCTTTCCTTTCTTTCTTTCTTTCTTTTCTTTTTTTTTTTTTTTTTTTTTTTTTTTTTAGTTTCCATTTCTTTATAGGGAACTTGTATCTTTCTGTTCAAGAGTGTTCACTTTTACTTGAAGGAGCGTGGTTATAATAACTTCTTCATAGTATTTCTGTAAATCCAACAACTGAATCTCGGGGTTAGCATCTGTTAATTGCCTTTTCTCTTTGAAATTTTTTTGGTTATCCTGTTTCTTTGAATGTCAAGTCATTTGGGGTTGTTTCATGAACGTTTTGAATATTATGAGACTCTGGGTTCTGTCAAAACCTGGAGAATGTTGAGGGTTTTTTTTAATTTCAGCAGATAGTCCAATTAGGTTCAAACCTCAAGTCCTAAACCACCTTCTGAAGGTTGTGATTCCAATGTCAGTTTAGTTTTCAAAGCCTTTCCATACTGTTCTGGTCTGTCCTACATATATGTCACTTGGAGAGAGCCTGGGACCTAACCAGTGGTCTGTACCATAGTTCATGTCTCAAAATCTTTGTTATGTTGATTCTGGTCTGTTCAATATACGTGCAGCTTGCAAGTGAGCTCAGGACATTGTACACAACATTTAAAAATCCCTTTCTCTCTGTGATCTTCCTCACTTTTACTATCTCCCAAGGGCTCCTTTTCCTAACACTCTCACTTAATCTGAGGCAAATTAGTAAAAGCCAAGACTTGATCCTCCCTACACTGTGATGCATTCCCGACAGCTGGTCCTCTGGGAGCCAAGCACCAAACATAAAAAAGCCCATGGACGCCTCTGCTGCCATGATGCCCACACTGTGCATTCTGCAGCTTTGCGCTGTGTTCCCAGGACTCAAAGGAAGCAAGAAGGGTCAAAAGGACTCCAAACCCCAGGAGGGTTCTCCTCTCAGTCCTCTGACCAGAGGAGCTTTCCTGGGGAGCTTTTTATGTCCATTTCCCTTTGTAGTTCCAGGAGACCAGTACAGCGAAGCCAGGAGATATGAAAGGTGAAAAAATAAAAACTGCAAACTCACTAGTCTATGGTCATTCTTTGAGTATTGATTTTCTTACTCTGCCCACCTTCTCTCATTTACTCTTCAGAGTCCTCCAAGAGTTGCCTTATATATCCCTCCTAGCGTTTTTAGCGGGGGAAAGATACGATACAAAGAGCTCACATATCGTAACCAGAAAAGAACCCTTTAACTGAATGTAGGAACTATAAATCTGAGTCTTTTGCTGCACTGTTCTTCCCAGAAACTCCTGAATTGTGGCCTCTTCTCCAGCTTTAAAAGAAAGTGATCCTTTCTGAAATGGTCCTTGTGTGGCCAGATTTTAAATAATGCTTCCAGCTACAATTTCCCTGTATCGATTAATGCATCTCTGTTTCTGAGTGTGGAGACCTTGATGTGCTCTTTGGTATCTCTGAGCCTCCCTCAAATAATCAGTCACCATTTTCTGGTGATTTCCCTTCCTAACCATCTCTCAAAGCCACATCCTTTTCATTGTTCCCACTCACTCTGCCTCAGTTAGGCCTTCATCATCTCACACCTGAGCCACCTAGGCGCCCCACCACATTGTTTTTAATAGTTATATAAGGGGTGTGTTATGTGTGTATGTGTTTGTGTGTGTTTCTGTGCATACACAGGTAGGTAGAAGTATCTCCAGTTAAAGGGTGAATTCCTTGAAGACAGAGATGATGTTTTCTTCTTCTTAGTGTTCTCATTTTAGTGCCCAGCCATGGGAGATTTTTTTTTTAAAGATTTTATTTATTTATTTGACAGACAGAGATCACAAGTAGGCAGAGAGAGGCAGGCAGGGGGGTGGGGGGGGGAGAAGGCTCCCGTTGAGCAGAGAGCCTGATGTGGGGCTCAACCCCAGGATCATGACCTGAGCTGAAGGCAGAGGCTTTAATCCACTGAGCTACCCAGGCATCCCCCCATGCAAGATTTTTTTTTTCTTTTTTTTAGAGAGAGAGGGCAAATGCATGCGCGTGGGAGTAGTGGGGGTGGGGCAGAGGGAGAGAGAGCATCTCAAGGCCTGATACCCAGTGTGGAGCCTGATACTGGGCTGGATCTCAGGACCTGAGATCATGACCTGAGCTAAAACCAAAAGTCTAACACTTAACCAACTGAGCCACCCAGGCACCCCTGCAACGTGAGATTTAAATAAATGCATCACCAATAAATTTACTCAGTTAAATTTTAAAACCTACAGAAATTTTTCTCCTTCAATATTGGTAATTCCCATATATATATATATCTTCACACAGATGTGCTGATGGTCTTGATTAAATAGACTAAGATTTTGGAGGTATGTTGTCAGAAAGTTTAAATGACCATTTTTATAGTCGTTAGTAGCCACATTTTGAGCTAGTTTTTATAGCAAAGAAAACCACCTAGTGGAGTTATTTTAAAATCCATTTAAAAAGAAATGAGGGAGGGAACTAAGGACAAGCTCTTCCAGCTATGTAACTGTTCTCTGAAACAGAGTCCAAATCTGATTGTATTTTAGAAATGGGCAAATTAGTTTTCTTTAATTTGTTTACTGAACTTGCAGTATTTATTTTCCCCAAAGTCATAAGAAATAAGTCCTCCTCACCTGCCACATTATACTCATTTCTCCTCTGTCCTCATTTTTGTGTGTTCTTGAAGAAAGTGAAATTAATGGGGAAACTTTTCTATCTTTAGAGCATTCTGTTTAAATGGCTTTAACCCTTTGCAGCCTTTTGTGACGATACTCTCCATTCGTAATTCATCCCTTATCTTCTCGTGTTTTTTTTTTTTCTTGTCGCATGTGGGTGTCCTCACTATACTCTTGTCACGATGATGGAGTGAGATGGCCCATGTTTAATTATGTGGCGGTGACTTTTGTTCAAAATTCTAAGTACTTTTGAAAAAACTGCTGGAAATTTGCGATGTGATTCATTCTTCCCTCTTCAGTACATACTGTTGTTGTCTTAAGATGTAGAAGTATAAATATCCGATGTATTGCAATAAAACATCTACAGTTTGCTAATGTGTTTAAAATCTGCCTCAGTAGTGTCCTATGTTGGTCACACCTCAAAGGGTATATCTGTTTAATTTTGTGGAAAGTTTCTATAGCTTCCTTCACACACACCATTGACCCCTGAGAGACATCATCGTTTTCCGGAATCAGATTCTGAGACAGGTGTCACCTACTCCACACCTTTCAATGTCACCATTCTTCTGATGCCTTGCCAATCCCAGCTTGCCCTCCCAGACTCGGTGACGGCATACCCACTCCCCATCTACCTCTTGTCCCTGGACCGCCCCAGGGCAAGCATGATTTGGAAAGCAGTTGAGATGGACTAAAAATGCTTTGTTGCCCCCCACCCTTGTAATTTTTTTTATTATGGTAAAATATACTTAACACAGTATTTACCGTCTTACCTGTTTTTAAGTGTACAGTCCGTTGGCACGTCGTGCATTCCCATGGTGGCACAACCATCCCTGCTCCGGGTCTCCAGAACTTTTTCATAGGCACAAACCAAAACCGTGTACCCGTGAAACAGTAGCTTCCCATTTTCTGCTCCCCCCAGTCCCTGGCGTCCACCATGCTACTTTCTGGCTCCATGAATTTGACCTTCATAGCTCTTTCAGTCACCACCTGTGGGCAGCTAAAGGCTTCAGCTGGGGGAAGGGGTTTGCTTGGTCCTTCTCACCCTTTTCACTATGAAATGATTAGCCGCAAGGATATTTTTTGAAACCTCAGGTATTGGGGGAGAAACAAAAGAAAACTGAGAGACAAAAGTGTTCATTCCAGAGCTGTTTATTAAGAGAAAAAGGAGCTATTCAACAGTACAGGGCCAAATCTTGGAGGAGAGATCTTTGAAGGCCTGCAGGTGTCACCTCTGTGGTAAATGAAGGGAACCATGGATTATTCATGTAGACAGAGGAACAAGGACACACATAGGGCTTTGGTAGATGCTTGGCATTTGTTATAAGGCTGTGTGAGGAATGAAAGATCAGGAAGTCATCTCAGGAGGTCTCAGGAAACTAGAAGCTACTCAGATCCAGCGCCCATCTGACCATTATTATTAGCATTCTTGTCCCATCAAAACCAGTCTTCATGGCTGGCAACCTACGGTGTGGCCATTCAGCTCTGTTTCTGCAACTGCCCAGTTAGCCAGCACCCTGGATACTCTCCTCTGTCCACGTCACATTCACCTTCCACAAGGTAGAATTTGGTGAGTGTCCATTAAACGGAAGGTGCCTCCATCCCTGTATGGGCAGCTTTCTTGTACTACTGCCTCCGGATGAGGAGGCATTGTGTTTCCTTCATCAGAAGGCTCTGATGGGGCCAAGGGACTCCAGCCACGGAGGCTGGAGGCTTCTCAGGAGAAAGCAATGAGCTCCATCTTATGTGTGCTATGTGGAGGGACCCTGAATGTGAGCAGAGGTTGGTAGGGACCAGATCATGGCCAGCCTTCCCTGTCCCTTTCGGAAACCTACATTTATTGTTAGCTGCTGCGAGTCACTGGCTGCTTGGAAGCAGGGGAGCAATACGATCCTTTGCAGTTGAAAGGTCAGACTGGTAACAGTGTGCAGACTGAACAGAGGGGAGTAAGGGACTGCTGGTGGCGTATGAAAGCTTTTGCAGTTATTGAAGCCAGGAGACTAAGCTCACCAAAGGTAATCACGAAGAAAAAAGGCCAGAGCCTGTGCCTCACAGGACTTGCACAAGTAAAAGGCAAGAGAAAAGTGATAGGGATCCAGGCCTTTCTAATTACAATTTCATGTTACACACTGAGATGACCACATCGTAGTAATAGCACTTAACCTGCTACTTTGGAGCTTTATGTATAGTTACTCTTAAGGCAAATAAATGAAGACGAAGAATGACGATTTATTGATATTGTGTTAAAAGCTACTGTTACATTTTTTTTTTAAGATTATTTATTTATTGAGGAGGGAGAGAGCTCGAGCAGGAGGGGCAGAGGGAGAAGGAGAGAGACTCTCAGGCAGACTCTGCACTGAGCGTGGAGCCCCACGCAGGCTGGAGCTCATGACCCCGAGATCATGACCCAAGCTGAAATCCACCGTCGGGCACCCAGCAGGCTGTACCACCCAGGCACCAAATACTACATCTTTAAGAGACACGCAGGAATGGTCATTAAATGGATTAATAACTTAAGGGTTCGTCTACTTTATTCTGTTTAATAAATGAGTTGGCCATTACAATATTAAAGGAAAAAAAATAATTATTGTAGTCCTTCATCAGTGACAGTGGAACTCTGGTTCCTATCGGTCTGCTTGGCCATAGTTAAGATTCAGGAAGAGACCTGCAGAATGGCAAGTATTCTATTAAGGGCACTACCTGTGAACTGTGCCTAGCCTGTGGATTACCATTTCCATGTGTGTATACAGAATACCACCTCTTTATATGTTTTCCCAAGAAATCCCAACTGCACCAACATGTAATGACTTCGGTAACCATCACTAAAGATTTGGGGGGCCAACTGAGGGTCATACCACACAACACACAACAGTCCTCTCCCTGTAAAGAGAGAACTTTTTCAGCCTTTTATTATCAAGAAGAATTTAATTACCATTTCTTGTTTCCTAAGCACACCCTTTGGAAGATGCCTGTAGCCTCCCCCAAGGGATTTACCAGTGAACATCCCCAGCAGTCAAAGGCATGTCTCCCTATTTCTCTGAATGAGCTCCAACAATATATCCTCAAACATTTTTATGATGCCAGCAGCGTAGAGGCGTTGTAGAAATAAGGAAGAGGGATGGGAAGGAAGAGAAGGCAAGAAAGAGGGAAAAGAGAAAGAGAGAAATGGGGGTGGGGGTGGGGATGAATACAGGGAGCCAAAGATGAAATACAAACCTCTGATAGTTCCGTCTTCCAGGGGGAAGTCATCACTTGTGAACTGGCTCTTGCATCTCTGGTGAACATTTTTCTTCATTATCATGAAATTCAAAAAATGTTTTTTGCAATTTGCCCAAGCCAGCTGCATTTGAGGGGAAGCTGTTTGGGGTCTTGTCTTGATCATTTCCTTCCCACTCAACTTTCAGAGGCTGCATATACTCTCCTATTATACGATGAGCTGTTGGAGTGGTCGGATCGGCCCCTCCGGGAGTTCCTGACCTACCCCATGCAAACAGAATGGCAACGCAAGGAGCACCTGCACCTTGCTATTATCCAGAATTTTGACCGAGGCAAAGTAAGTAGCCCTCCCCACCCATGGTCTCTCTCAAGGCGGTTGTGTTGGTTTCATGTTTCCTTTCATTCATAGTTTTTTCATGTCTACCTCCTCAAGCCAGGTACCCTCAGATTTTAATGAGGATTAAAAACATCCAAGAGTTTGCTAAAATTCCCAGGTCCCTCCTCTAGGCATTCTGATTGGGTATGTCTGGCATGAGGCAGGGGATTTTGTGACTTCAACAAGGACTTGACATTGCAGTGAGTACAAATTTGGGGCCATACTTTGAGAAACACTGGTCTGGAGGTTTTGACACCTAGGCATTTGATTCTCTGAAAAACCACCCCTCAGCTACCTCCCCAAATTAGCATGCATTCTGCCCCATTCCACTTTTTTGGTAAGGGAAGGTAAATGAAACTGACTTTGTTTAAAGAATGTTATGGCATCCCATCATATAGTTAAAAGATCCCACTGACCTGATGATGCCATTCAGCCCATTACCTCACTCCACTCTGTCTCCCTCCTCAAGGACTTAAAATACCCTTTAGGAAAAGTTAAGAATCTGATCACAGTTTTTTATTTGATTTGAACATTTGGATGCTTTGGTGATGCGTGTCTTAGATTTAAATATATCTCCCAAAATGTGAAGGTTAAACAGGAGACTAAAATACAAACAGTAGCTGTCCTTCTTTTACAAAACATAATTGCATAACTTGATGCAAGGAAATTGCCTCTTTCCTATCGTCCTTTATTATGTATCTAAATACCCTGACATATCATTTGTTACATTAATAGCAAGGAAATGCCTTTGTGTCCTCCTCCGGTGAAGTTTCCATCTATAAGCTGTTATAAAATCCTGTTGTGCTTATTTTGGCCCTTCAAAGGGGTTTTTCACTAGATCAGGGGTTACAAACGATGGCCCATGTGTCAAATGGCTCAGTACCCACCGTTTTTGTACCACCCACATTCTAAGAATTGCTTTTACATTTTAAAGTGTTTGAAAGATATGGCAAGAAAAAGAATATCTGACAGATGAAAATTACATGAAATTCGCATTTCGGTGTTCCTAGATAATAGCGTTATTACAGCACAGACACGCTTATTCACTGTGCCTGCTTTTGTGCTTTAATGGTGGAGTTGGGTAGTTGTGACAAGGACCGTGTCGCCCACCAAGCCCAAATTATTTACTGTCTGGCCTTGTGCAGAAAAAGTTTGATGACCCTTGGGCTAGATGAAAGAATTTTTGCATTTCTGCTGAGAGTAACCAGCTGGGTTAGATCCTCACAATTTACAAGTGCAGTTGAGCCAAGCAAGGGCTCGAGCATGCCAGCTGTGGATAATTGGGCCTTAGGGGTCAGTGGTAATTCTCCCCCTTAGCACCGAGGGCCCGTTTATTCATCTACTTGGCCATTGTGGAACTGTAGTTATTTCAAGATGATGATTCTGAAATGATTCCAGAAAATGTTTCCACACCATATGTTCATGCCTGTTGTGGTGGATTATATTTTCTCACTTCCTAAAGATTTTTAATAATTTACATGTTAATTGCATGCTGGTATCAAGCTTAAAGTGGCAGTGGTACTATTAAAGGTAGACTGTAGAGATTAAGAAGTAAGGCCTGGTGATCTGAAAGCAGTCTCACCCTGTCCTGTGGGTGGAAATGAATGAACGTTGTGGGACCATTAGTGTTTGTATCATTCGTTTGTCCACAGTGTTGGGAGAACGGCATCGTCTTGTGCCGGAAGATCGCGGAACAGTATGAGAGTTATTATGACTACAGAAACCTGAGCAAGATGAGGGTAAGGAACCTGGATGTGCGCTCATCAGGCAAAGGCATCCTTTTGTCATTAACCTTCCAGTATCGTTCAGTAAAACTAACTTTGTGATCATCCCGACCTGTCTTGCAGAAAGCTTGTTTAAGGGAAGTCTTTCCTCTGCAGCATACTCAGCTGTTTATATAGAGAAATAGCAAAGGCTTCTAATTAGTACATGGAAGTGAGCCTTTGATCTCTTCTAAACATCACGTCTGCAATGTGCAATCTAATCCGTGATTGATTCTTTTAGTTTGCTGAGAAGTCTCTGTACTGTTTGAAGAGAAGCTCGCTTGTATGCAGATCTCTACCGCAATGTACCATTCTTAGACCCCAGTCTGCACAAACAGTAGACATGGCTAGCTAACCCATTTCTGACCACTTCAAGGCTAAATTCTACAGATGTCATCTCTCTTTAGCTGTGGCAACTTGTGTTTTGTGCGATACTGGAACCAAGGTCTCGGTACCCAAGAACCCAGGGAGTTCAGTATTCTGTGCTCCTGAACCAAACATTTTGTCCCTTCTTTTCTTTTCAGGTTCAAATGGGTCCCTCTTGCTCTCTGAGTCCTTACTCTTCAGAGCCATGAGCATTTTGTGTCCTCTTATCACACTTAAGTTCTGCAGGGTTTCTAAAATAGAAAGATTGTGATGTTGCCTTTTAATTCTGAGGTAGCAGTTTATGGGATGATATTGTCAACCTTTAACAGCTCATAAAACCCCATGCCTCACAAGTAGCTCACTCAGCCTGCAGGAGCTGGTATAGTATTTCATGCCAGAAGTTCATCGATGTTTCTTCTAACATGAAAACCAACGAGGAAAAAAAAAACAAAAACAAAAAACCTTGTTTCAACTTCAGTCCATCATGCTAGGTCTGGCAGGCACTGCGGTTCTATATAAAAACATGTCTGTGCTTCTCTTGGCATACACCCCTGTAACAGAAGCGAGGTTACAGTGTTTACCCGGGAGAGCCCTTGGGTACCATAGTCACTCCGATTTTTATAAACCCAGAGCATTACACTTCATGCCAACGGCTCTTTGGGGTGCTGTTACTGGGGGCAGGGGGAGGGGGAGAAGTTTTCAAGAGCAATATTCGTCTTTCTCTATAAACCCTGGGGATGATAATACCATGAATGGAAAACCATAAGCTTTATGTGCGTCCTAGTGCTGACATGGTTAGAGATACACTTAAGAGTTTTCAGCCCAGACAGCACTTGGCACGATGGGTCTCCTCGGGTTCGGTTTATCCCTGTCCAGCCTGTGCAAGCTTGCACCTTCCAAATGTCCTGAATTACCATGACCAAGAAGAACCAAATCCACAGGTGAGTACATCTAGTGCTAGAATTTTCCAGAAAGATTGGGCCTCTAATAGTTCATTCATTTTTTTTTTAATTCATGTTCATCTTCATTTAATTGTGAAGAAAATATTTTCTCGATAGGCTTTGTGCATAGAAATTATTTTCTTTGGTGAGAACATGGAATATTTGATCCTTTAAAGTCAGGGTCAGCAACCTGTAGCCTGTGGACCTGGCAGGACTGAGTAGTTATGACAGGGACCATATGGCCTGAAAAGCCTATTTTCTTTATTCTCTGGCCATTTCCAGAATCATTTTGCTAATCCCTGCCTTAAAGCACAGAAAGGGAGTTAAACCTTCTTTTCTGAAAGAAAAGTTCTTCTTCATAAAGAATAAATATCCTCTTCTAGAAACAGGGAGAGCTGAAGGATGAGGTAAAATTCTTAGAATTCTCCTCTGCTTTCCTAGATGATGGAAGCCTCTTTGTATGACAAGATTATGGACCAGCAACGTCTTGAACCAGAGTTCTTCAGAGTTGGATTTTATGGGAAAAAATTTCCATTCTTCTTAAGAGTAAGTTAATACACTATTTAATTTGTTGTTATACTTCTAAAATAGATATGCCACTCAAGAAAACCAAGATGTTTGAAGACATTTCGTCCTTTTAGAACAATAAGAGATTTTCCTTTAACGTTTTTAGTGTGCAGACACCGTACTAAATCTAGAATACCTTGTTTTGAATAATTTCCCAAGTTATCAAAGAATGGTTTGATTTTTCTTCCTAAATTTCTAAATGCACTATATCTTATGAGCAGTCTTTGGTCATTAGAGCTGCTCCCCTGTGGGAGTGCTGTTTACTATTCTGTTCAGTCTGTGATTTCCATAGAGTTAACAGTAGAGAAAAATGGCAGGGCATTGCAGGTGACATAAAACACTGCAGTCTCACGTCCTGTAGAAACTCCCTCCAGAATCATGTAAAGAGCCCAGTTAGTGATTTTGTGAAAAGGTAAATGTCACCCAGCCAAGAGATGCCATTTATTGCTAGTATAAACTAATTCTACCAAAGTAAGTCTTCCAGACACTAAGGTACCTTGTGGATCATAAAATACTTGACTCTGTTCTTGCCATTTTTTACATTGTGCCAAGTCGTACGTTACATGCTTGAAGGCTTACTTAACCCTTCAGGGTATAAAATCTTACTTACACTTACTTATATGAGAACAGTAGTTGGGAGAGGAAATGTACCTCCCCACGTAACTGAGGAGAAGTTTTGGGAATACTTTAGAAATTGAGCGAATTCATTCCAAACTCTCAATCTCAGCATACAAATGCTTTGGTAGCTGTGTTGCCCTGTATCCTGCTTTAACTGCCAGCACTTATGAATACATATAAGATGGGGATACTTGGAGGAGGAGGGAGAAGAGGAAGATTGGACTTTGTTATTTGTTTAATAATCATTAACTTGTCTCACTTTTAAAATGAGAGTTTTATATGTATTTTTTAATTCATATATTTACATGTAAAGTTTATATGTATATACATACACACTGAATATAGATCTAGAGTCCACATTTTCCAAACACCAGGAGCAAAAATTCATTTTAGTGTTACATTGAGCATACACTCAAATGACAGGTTGATCGAAGTGACTGTGTATTTTGGTGAGTCAAATCTCCTTGTTGGGTTAAAAGGAAGTCTGCCTGTCGGTGTACATGGTCACAAAGCTGACTCTGCAGATGGACCTGAGGACAGAGGAAAGCTTGATTCTGGATCAAAAACAGAGATAAGTTTAGAACACTTGCTGACTTTGAAAGACTGAGTTTCGAAAGTGGACATTGTAGGCCAGCGTTGTCAATAGCAACCCCCTTCCTCGTGTACATGGCCAGGACCCTTGTGGGAGAAGGGGCTCAGTCTAGCGCAGAGGGCTGGAGACCCCACAGGAAGGTCCAGACGTGACTCTGGTGCAGCACATCCCCTTCCTTTCTCGGTTCAAAATCAGGCAAAGTAAAAGGTTACTTTTTCTTCCTCATCATACTCAGGGTACAGTGTTTACAAATCATATTGCCTACAAAAGTATTTTAATTTCTTTTAAAGATCAGAAGAAAAAAGTGAGTTTTTTTGGCTGAAGAACTTGTTATAATGTATATTAACTTGTATATTATACATTAGATTATGTATTTATTTGTCCCTATACCAAATCAGTCTCTCAGTATGACTTTTAATACATTTTTATAGGGGAAGGGGCCCACAAAAGTCATATTGTATCATAATGTGGTCATATTGATCAAATTCTGAGTTTAGCTAGCAAGTGCACTGTGAAGTATCTTAGACCCATTTATCTTATAAATGAAACCGTGATAATTAAAAGTGTAAAGTTGTTTTTTTTTTTAAATCAGAAGTAGTTTAGGAGCCACAATTTTAAAGAGAATTTAGCAAAGTAGAAAACTGAATTAGTTAATAAATTAAATTTTATTACAAAGTCGATTGGAATAAATCAACCTATTAATAGTTTTTTCAAAACAGCTTTTCTAGATATAAATGGCATTTTCTTCAAAACGAAGAGAAGGGTCACCCTCTATTGGTTTCTAAAGGGCACCACACCTTTCAGAATTATGGGGCTGGATCTCTTTTTAGGAAATCAGATTCTAGTCTGTCCATCAATTAAAAAACAAGCAAATATCAACATTAAAGATTTCCTCATTGATCAATTCCAAGATAATTTTTGAAGTTGCAATAAATTAATACATTTATATAAGCATATGATCTAAATAGTTTTTTTTTACCCTCATGAAAAATTGACCATCTCTTTATGCACAGGATATCTCTGACTAGTGATTTGTCTGAAGAGAATGACCAAGGTCAAGGATGAGAGATTGACTTTTCATTGTATGCTCTCTACTGTTTGGGTTTTTGTTTTGTTTTGTTTTGTTTTTACCAGAGATATGTATTTCCTTTTCAGAAGAAAAAGACAATTAAAAAAAATTTAAGTGTGAACAAATGTGACCCAGCAATTCTACTCCTAGGTATATACTCAAGAGAATTGAAAACATATGTTCACACAAAGAACTCTACACAAATGTTCATAGCAACATTATTCA